CAGAATGTAGTTTCCGGGATTCATTGGTTCTAGTTCGAACAATTTACGAGCAGCAACCTCACCCAAGCTCATGTTATGGTGAACTCTACAGGAACTTAACAATGCACCCCAGACGCAAGCGTCGGGCTCAAACGGCATTTTCTCGATCATGGAATAAGCCTCTTCAAGCTTTCCTGCACGACCAAGCAGACTCACAACACAAGCATAGTGCTCCACTCTAGGTTTAATACCATGATCCGTGGTCATTCTGTCAAAGTAACGATGCCCTTCTTCCGTAAGCCCACTTTGGCTACATGCAGATAAGAGACTAGTGAGACTAACAGAGTCAGGTTTCTGTCCACTCCTCTGCATCATGAGAAAAAATTCAATAGCTTCGTTTGCTTTTCCATGCATTGCATATCCCCCCAACATTGCGTTCCAGCAAACCAAATTACGAACAGGCATCCTGTCAAAACAGCATCGAGCTAATTGGATTTTTCCACAATTAGCGTACATATCGATCAGTGCACTGCCTACATAAACATCGCCTGAAATGCCCCTTCTAAGAGAGAAGCAGTGTGCAGCCTTTCCATGCATAAGCGCTGCAATATTTCCACAAGCTGGAAGCAAGCAAGGGATGGTGACAGCGTTCGGTTTCACACCAGCAGACTGCATTTCTCTAAAAAGCTCCAAAGCCTCGATATCTTTACCATGCTGTGAGCAACACGCTATAACCGAAGTCCATGAAACAACATTCAATTCCATTTGTTGACCCTGAAGTTCTTTAAACACCCTCAGCGCCTTGTCAACAAGACCATGACGAGCGAGCCCTGTAATTAGTGCATTGCAAGCCCCAACTTCCACTTGACCCATATCTTCAAGCACTTGTGACATCTCTAAGGCACATCCGCATTTGCCGTACATATCAATGAGTGCACTTACAATACACTTGTCAACAGCAAAACCGTTCTTGATCACATACCCATGAACTTGGGTGCCTGTACTTAAATACCCCAAGTCACCTATTGCAGGAAGAACACTAGAAATGCTAGTCCCATCTGATTTAAAACCATGTTTGTGCATCTGCTGAAACATCAAAACTGCATCGAGAAAACACCCACTTTGATTAAACCCTGCAATCATACCGTTCCAAGACACAGTATTCGGTTGAAACCCAAGATTTTTAACCTCGTTGAAAACTTTTCTCGCATTAACTCTATCCCCTTTCCTTGCATAACCAGCAGCCAATGCGCTCCAAGAAACAACATCTCTCTCAACCATATTATCAAACAGCTTGTGAGCGTCAACTAATTCATCACATTTCACATAAAAATGAACCAAAGAAGACTGAACAAAAGAATCCAAGGATATACCAGATGCCAAAGAAAACCCATGAACTTGCTTTCCGATGTTAACAGCCAGTAGTCCGGCACAAGCCTTGATCACACTCGGCAAAACATGGGCATCCGGAAAAAGGCCGTGTTTGAGCATTCGAGAAAATACACTGAGAATGTTATCAAAATCGTTAAACTTGGAAGATGCATTAATAAGGGTAGTGAATGAGATAATATCGGGTTCGAACGACAGAAGGTTTTTCGCATCGGAAAAGCAGCGGTGGTTGGCATAGAGAGAGAGTAGCTTGGTTCTATAATAAGGGAATTGACAGAGACCTGTTCTGAGTAGTTGGGCATGGATCTGCCTTACTTGAGTTGGTGATGCAGTGGAACTTCTGCTTATTAGATGCTCTAGGTCTGGAATCCGAGACGGAATCGATGAATCGACTCTCAATTTTCCGGGATCCAACGCCACCGCGTCTTCAATTTTGCGGCCGGAAAAATTGTCCGGCCGGCCGGAAAAAGGTTCCCGGAAGTCATCGGAGTCGGCATTCTCAACCGGAGTGGGATTAGAGTAAGCGCAAGATGTGGTGAGGAGTCTCCATAATGCAGGGGTTCTAGGGTTTATGTGAAAGGGTTTAGCCGAAGAGAAATACAGAGATTGGAGTGATGGCATTTATTTCCTCGGGAAATTAGGGTTCGGTGACTGAGAGTGGAGAGAGGAACGATCAGTTATCCTTCTTCACTGTATCACAAACTGCGAATACTTCCATTGTTTTAAACTTCGGAACGCGCTATCGAAATCGAAAGATCACCAACAGCAGCACCATAGACCAAAATTTTCTTAGGTAAACAACAACGAATAACACACCTGAAATAAGAATCCATTAGTTTCTTAAGCTTCACTTTCGATCACATTACTTTATTGTTGCTCAATGTGCATAAGACAAATTTCAAATAACTGATGACTCAGATTGATGCTAACTATGAACATTAAACTAAAATCCAACGTTATTTGTTGTCACATTTTCTTCCAAAAATTGTAGCAGGCCGTATGCTTATCCAAATTGGGAAAATAATATACCAAATAAAAGGTCACAACTTTATCTACAATTTTCGCGAAGATACCAACCCAAATCACTAAGATAACACAGCAATAACAGCCCGAAGAGATGAATACAGAAAAAACTGCCAGAATTGTTTTGGACAAAGTCGTTTGCTGTCACAGCTTATTTGAAAAATCATAACAATTTGTAGAGTTATCCAAATCGACCACAAAATATACAAAATCAAACCTGACAACTCAATATACAAAACTTCAGAAGACACATAGCCTAAATTATTACTCCAACATAACAAAAACAGCTCCGTAAGATGATTAGGCAAAACTGCCCTGTTTTTTGACAGATTCACTGTCGTCTGATTCCGACCCCTAAAAGGCTATACCACGTGCTCGAATTGGAAAAAATTAACCACTTACATTTAGTTTTCGAGGTCCTCGAATTGGAAAAAATTAACCACTTACTTTTAGTTTTCGAGGTCCTGTACGAGTTTTGAGAAGGAATTATTCCCAAATTCAGACTCCAAACCCTTCGATTTTGGCTCCGAAACAGATGCGGTAGCAGATTTTATTTCCCTTAGGGTTCTGGCGAGCAGGCTGAATTTCCGTCTCGAAATTGAATTTTTCTTTTTATGGTGGAAAAGGAGAAGAAAAAAATCGAGTTCTGTTACTTATTACCATTAATAATCTTAACATTTGAAAAATAACACCAGGAAGAAAAACAATTAGATGATGATATTTAGGTCTTCATATTTCTCGAGGTTTGTAACGGTACCTTCTATCATCAATAATCCACCGCTAAGACCTCCGTTCATTTAATTCTTTCAAGAGCCAATAGCTGAACTTCAGATTACGGCCACCATCGGCGACCTCTGCCGGAAATCACCAATTATTCCAACGGTGGGTCCCAGGGTTCGCCGGAACGGAACGGGAACGGTGCCCTCCGTTCCGTAATCCCTAACCAAATCGATTTTCACACCGTGACTCGGAGAGAAAAATCTGAGAAGAAAAACGGAAAAAAGAAGACGGTGAGGGGCCTAGTCGTGGTTTGATGGATACCTAAATCTGAGTCAAAGGTTTTTTAAGTTTCCAAAATTTGCAATCTAGTACTTATGGCTTTTTATTTCTCTTAAAGTAAGCATATAATTTCATAGCTTACAATTTCACCCCCTATTTTTATATCTCAAGGTATAAAGAATGGTTCAAAAATTAAGATTAGTGTTTTAATGACAATTTGAATAGTATTCTACCGTAGTATTTTGACATAAATTATATTTTTTTGAAAGACAGAAATAATTTGGAATGAACGAAACAATGAGAATTGGTTATGTTTTTCCATTATTTGCATTTTCGCCCTCCATCTTTCTTTCTTTTCTTTCCTTTCCTTGATTTGTTTAAAAATTCAATTACTAATCAAATCGATTAGATTTCCATAAGTAGTTTCGACTTTTGCTACCAAATTGCTTTTGGTTACTAAATGTGAATATTCAGTGACCATTTAGCTATGGTCGCTGAGAATTTGGTCACTGAAACTAGTTTTTCTTGTAGTGAGAGAAAACAGTTTTTTTTTTTTTTTTTTATGTTCTAGAAAAGTCCGCGTGAATAAACCCTCACATATATAGGGTGATTTACATCTACCTCCCCTGAGGTTGGTTTAACTACAGTTAAGTCCTTTTAGTTTGAAAAATTACACATATTTCTTTTGAAATTAGAAGGGTTAATTTGGAGTATAAGTTAGTATAAGAGAGGCCATAGAAGAATTAAGTATTAGCACAGGGATCTTAGACCATCTCCAATGGAGATGGGGGTGGGTAGGGGTGGGAAGACAAAATCACCTCCAATGGAGGTGGGTAATGGGGGGTGGGTATGGCTTGGGTATGGGTGGGGAGGAGGGGAGGGGGAGTTTAGCTTGAGCTGCCCCCTTCCAGCTCACTTGCTCGAAGGGGGCATGTGTGTACTCGCCAATTTACTTTTTTTTTTTTTTTTTCTTTTTTTTTTTTCTTTTTCCTTTGTTATCCGATTGTTTTTTTTTTCCTTCTTTTTTTCTTTTCTCTTTTTGACATATCAAATTTGTTTATTTTTATTTCTTTTTCTTTTGTATTTATTTTTGTATTATATCATTATTTTATTTTATTTCATTTATTTAGTTACATAATTTAATATCACATAATTTCAATAAAATCAACACTTTGTAAATAAATACTTTTATTTTTTTCATTTCTTTCTTTTATTTTATTATTTCCTCTTTAAATTATATCTTTATTCGTAATTTTATTATTATTATTTTATTTTGTTTCTTTATTTGGTTTTATTTTATTTTATATCTTTATTCGTAATTTTATTATTATTATTATTATTATTAATTGTTAATTATTATTAGTACTAATAATTATTATTATTAATTATTACTTATTATTATTATTATTATTGTGGTTGTTATTATTATTTTATTATTATTATAGTGGTGAGAGCGGGGATTGGAACAAAAAGTAATATAAGACCGAACGATTGGAAACGACGTAGGTAGAGGGAGGGGGAGAGGGAGGGGAGGGGAAAACCCCCTCTCCATTGGAGATGCTCTTAGTGAAAGTAATCTTTGAATTAAATATTAATTATTTACTTCATCCCCATTTCTCTTATCTTTACATTCCAAACAATTCCTGCTCACGCCAGCCGTCGCAGCTACCGATACAGAATTCGGCCGTCGATTCCCCCAAAATTTCCTAATTTTGGAAACCCACTTGTTTATTCGGGTCAGTGGGTTCTAAAGTCTAAACCCGTTTCTGGTACACCAGAGTATAAATAGGAAGAAAAAGAAAAAGAATAAAAAAAAATGGTTTCCGATATGCCTAACTCGAATTCCGGCGACGGAGGGGCAGATGCCGATTCAAGTACTTGTTAGGTTTGTAAAATTCGCATCCGTCAATTAATTTTCATTCTCCGAAGTCGATTTTTTTTCTTTTTCTTTTTTTTTTTGCGTATAATGATTGAATATATATAGCTACGCAGTTTCTGTCAAGAGGAATCCCATTCATATTCAATTCCTGGATTGTCAGACACCTCTCCGAAGAAGATTACGCGGTAATCATATTTTTTACTATTTATTATTTTCTTAGCATTTAATTTCTCTTTTTGGGGGATTTGGTGCGAACTTTATTTGAAAAAAACGATGGAATTATGTGAGGAAAGGCAAGACATTATTTTAGAAAAATGAATTTTAAATGAAGTAAGAGTTGGAGTTTTTGGGTGAATTCGAGTTGCCAAGATTCGATTGGCCCAAGCTATTCTTATTCCCTCATCAGATTGCTGTATGGTAGGAAATGGAGTGACGGAGAAGCTTCGAAAGCACTCCAATGTTTTTGCCTTTACGTGATAGTTTTGGCCATGAATGGTAAAACATTGACGCATATCACTCTGTTCGGTTATTTTTAAAATATAACAAAGTCAAAATCTCGAATCATATTTAAGGTGTTCTTTTTCTACGGAATTAAAGTGATTTTCTTTTATTTATTTATCAGGTACATCCGAGGCATTTATGCATGCAGTTGCAACAGAGAATCAACTCAAACGGTCGAATGACTCGTTACTCGTCTTCTCATTGATTTACCTAGTCTTGAATGTCTTACTTATACGATCAGCAGGCGCAATTGGATTAATATTAGCAAATTCTTTGAGTATCCTTTTTTCGACTTCTCTTTCTTCGCGATTAATTTATTCCCATGTTCTTTTTCTGTTTCGTATTTCTGGTTTATATCTCGTGGCGTTTCATTGGTTCCTTGACTATGCGACAAAGACATGTTCTTCAGGATAGTCTATTCAGCAATTTTCATCAGAAAATATTTCAAGGTACATTTATACATCTTTTATGCATTTCATATTTTTTATGATTGTAAATATTTTTTATTTATATTTTTTTGATGCAAATTTATGTCGTTTTCGCAGGATTCTTCATCCTTTTCCTTTAGAGACTGCTTGCCGAAAGGAAGTGAACTTCTACTTATTTCAGGTGTAGCCACCTTTATTCTCGAGAGAATATATCTCGACCGAGAGAATTTCTGGTCAACTTTTACGATTCACCTCTCTTTTGGTTTGGCGTGTTTCAGTGTCGCGGCTTTTGTAATGTAAGTATTACTTATCGTAACGCAATTTGTTTTTTTTTGGTGTTTTATTTCTAATTATTACATTTTTATCAACAGCTACAAGAAAGAGAAGCCTTTCATCAGTAAAATCATACGTTTTCGTAAACACGCTGATTGAAAGCTCCGATAAAATAAAACATACACGGTTAATTAGATGGGCAAAAATCGTATTGATTCTGGTGTAACCTAAACCGTTGATGACATTTTCATTTTTGCTCGAGTAGATTGTTACCGATGAACTTGTGTAAGAATGTATTGAAAATGATGTGAGCCCTTTAAATTTATCATTGATCTTGGGATAAAAGTTAACTTCATTCGGGTGAATACAAAGGAGAATATAATTTAGTTATTTATTTGCATTTTGAATTATTCGATCAATCAACATTTACGTAATTTTAATGAGTAAACTGCAAAAACTATTTTATAAATATTTTAATTATTTTATTTAAAAAAAAATCAATTTAGTTGTTTACTATTTTTTTTAATTTCTAAACAAACAAATTAAAAAGAATAAATATACATATAATATGTATATATATAAATACATTTTGAGGGACAATTTTGTCATTTCAAGTCTAAAAAATCAGCTAGGGGGATTCTGCCTTTGACTAAATTTCACAGGGGGGTTTTTGCTAGTTTATTTATCACAGGGGGGTTTTCGCTATTTCGAGATAACACAGGGGTAGTATTTGCAGTTTACTCTATTTTTAATATGTAACCAAAACCGATACCGATCCAAAAAAACGAAAAAAAAAAAACTTCTATAATCTACAAATCAATTTCACCTTTATCCTCAATCACTTCGGAATCTAAACTAAAAAGAAAACAGGGTAAATTACGGGTACCCAAGATAAATAACTTAAAAACCCATATAGTATTGGTAAATTACAAATAACCCCTAAAACTAACAGCCCGTTGGAAACCTTAACGGAATGAATGAATTGTCTAAATTACCCTTTTATTAAACAAAAAGAATGACAAATCTATCGGTATTATATCTGGGGTAAATTTGGAAATTCATTACGAATATTCAAGATTTTGGGAGAAATAGCTCAGGGGTATTTGTAATGACCAATATCACGAAGGTTTCTAAGTTATTTAGTCTTACTTCAGGGTAACGGTAATTTACCCCCAAAAAATAAAATAAAATCCCAAACTAAAACTATCAACAATCTAGGGAAAAGAAAATAGAAGAAGGTGCAAAGAGCAGCTCGAGCCAAGTCAAAAATCAATATAATCTATGTATAACTTTCATTACTTATTAGTAAAATCCCTACTCAATCAGTACTTTAATCTCCCCCCACTTAAATTAATACCTCGTTTCAAGACAAAGCAAATTCATTCGGCGGGCGAAGGCACACAGCAACCTCATGCTCCTCCGGCCCCACGCGATGCTTAGGCACATTAATCTCAAGAACCGTTCCACTCTTATCAAAGTAGGCTTCAAGTTTAGCATTATCAGGTATCCGAGTAGGCAACGTGATTTCTCTTTTAAACTCGCCAGGTGGACAGTGCTCAGGCGCCGAATCGGTAAGCTTAAAACTCCGTTCGCCTCTCTGAACAAACGGCATACAAGCAGTACTCACGGACGATATTTTCACCACACCGTGACTCAGAGTATTCCACCAATGCACTTTCACCTTTTCCGGATCGGCAAAAGGCAAAGTAACAAATATTAAATATCTTTCTTCATCTTCGTATATAGTTTTAGCCGCAGTTACGGGTCCGTACACATATTTCATCACACCGCTAAACTCACTCAACCAATGCGGCTGCTCCACAGTGTGGAACTCTCCGTTAAGATCGTTCGGCAAGAAACAATCTTCGAATAAATCTTTCCTCTTCTTGTTAGATAAGAGATCGATTCCATTGCCGTTTATTGCTTGGTTTAGTGGCTGAGTTGATAAATTCAAACCCGACCCGTTGAGCAGTTTCTTTGTGGGATTAGTGTGCGAGTTGTTATTCTTCAAACTTTCGAGTTCGAAGTCTGTATTTGGGAGATTTCTCCAAGAACCGAATTCTTTCGCCTCGGGTAAGATAGAGAAGCTGAGATCTCTACCCGTTAATTCGACCCACTTCTTCTTTTCTTCTTCGTCGAGGGCTGTAAAATTAGGCGATGGAACGAGCTCAATACCATGTAAACACTGTGGATTAGAGAGTCCTCTGTACTGCTTCCTCTGCATTTTATGAGACCTGACGAAACCCTTGTCGGCACTAAATGGAAACGGACGCTGACCTGGACGAGCGTGACCGTTCATGTAACTTCTCAACTGCATTTTACCGAGTGCATTTTCGGGCCGATCCTTGAAAACCCACATGTACATGTTCTCCATATCGTGCTGCACTAAGAAGACATCGAGTTGAAGATCGGATTTTTCGAAGCCCGACGAAACCCCGTTGACTATGTTCTTGCATTTCGATTTGTCTTTCAAAACGGGCTTGAAGTAGAAGCTGAAGAAGAACCAAGCACCCCAGACACTATCCAATTTCTTAGCACACTTTCGACCCGTCTTAGGCAAATCGAGAAGCTTATCCGAGTCAATGGCTTGGTATCCAAGACCAGCATCGAGAATATCAAGCGAATCGGTGCTCCACAATTGAGGGGGAGGGCTTTGCTCTACTGAAAACGGCAGATTGATATCCGGTGGTCCCGAAAGAATATTCTGCCGATTCATATCTCGGTCCGATTCTTCGTGACAGGTGGCGATTGAATCCATTGACAAGAATGTTGATGGTGGGCAGTTTTCGAAACCTAAGCTTGTCAGAAAATCTTCCCCCATTTCTTAATCCTATCTAATCAATTGTGGGATTTTCTGAAAAAAACCCCACCTTTTACAGAAGTTTAGCAAAAAAACCCTAAAAAAAACACCGCAAAACTCATTCTTTGAGCAGAAAATCAATATGGTTCCTGATGAATTTTATCAATTCAGAGATTTGGCAAATCGGGAAGAACAAATCTATCAACCCTAAACAGGAAAAATCAATTGATATATGTACAATCAACAAGGGTTTGCGCGATAATTAAAAAAATAATTAGCTTAAAATTCAAATAAAATAGGGGATCAGAAATTTACCTTGAGTACGTTAATCCACGCAAAGATCTTAGAATTCAAATAATGGGTAGTTTTATTAATTATCGGTTGAAATCATTAACGTAGCCAGAATTTTAAATTCGAGGGAACCGAATGCATTAAAACTTTCATAAGGAAGACCGTAATGCTAATTATACATGATTTTTTTTTTTAAATTTTTACATAAAAAATATGGATTTGAAATTGTTAGTGAGGGTCATGGCCCCCTCTGACCCATTATGGTTCTGCCACTTGTTGGAAATTAATTCTTACAAAAATTCTTCATATCCTACTTTTTATTTTTGGTTAATATTGGAGACACCTCTAAAACCAAACATAATTCTATGTGAGGCACAACCTCAAATAGAATGTTTTAACTAAATTCTTATTTAAAAATTTAATTTGACCCACATTCTTTTATTTTTATTTAACCCAAAAATACCCTTTGATATATCTAATAAAAAAAACACGTTTCTCTTTTTTTTTTTCTCTTTTTTCTCTCTTTTCCCCACTCTCTTCTTCAACCGCCGCCTACCCTGGTTCTCTCTCTTCTTCAACCGCCCCACCCCTTTCTCTCTCTTTTCTCTCTTTTTGTAGTGGTGCTCTCTTTCACATCGAGAGGATATGTTAGATCTGGGATTGACGGCAACGGCGCTGGGTTTTGCTATCGAGAATGACGGGCGGCAGAAGGATAAGGTGGTGAGTGGAGAAGAGAAGACCCGCTTCATTGCCGGATGAATCTGATGCAAACAGTGCACGGGCTTCACTCAACTTCCCCAACTTGCACTGCCCACTAATTAGCATGTTATATGGGTAAACCGTTGGTTCTATTCCTGCACCGAGCATTTTGCCAAGAACGGAAACGGCTTCGTCTACTTTTCTTCTTTTGCAGAACGAATGAATGATGATGTTATAACTTACATCGTTTACGAGCAGCCCCTTTTTTCCATCTTCAAGAAAAGCAAATCCGCTTCTTCTAACTTGCCATCTTTACACAAGGAGTGAATCATAGCATTACAAACATATATATTCGGCATTGCCCCAAGTTTCCCGACTTTATCAATCAAATCATAAGCCTCACCAACCTCCCCTTTCTTTCTAATTCCATCTACATCACTCGATAAAGCCTCCTCACTTCCCGTAACCCACCATCTCATTCACCAAGTCTCGCGCAAGTCCAAACTCATCCACTCTACACAAACCGAGGACCAAAGTGCAATATGTCACGACATCAGCTTTCAAAGACTTAAACCCTAATGTTTTCTTGATCTCAACGGCCTCCCACACTCTCCCACTCTTACATAGCCCATGAATCAACACATTATACGCAACCACATTCAATTTGCAATCTCCATTCTTCTCAACCGAGCTAATGATTTCCTTTGCTCTATCATAATCTTTCAATTCACACAAGCTCCTAATCACAGCGGTGTACACATAAACATCCGGTCTTAGCCCGTCGTTTCCCACGAACATCTCGTCGAACAAGACGAGCACCATATCGGATCTCCTTATTCGGATCAACCCATTCAAAACTGCGCTCACAGTCCTCACTTCAGGAAACAAACCACATTCCTTCATTGACTTCACAACGACAACCGAATCCAGAACCTTTCGACTCTGGACATAGCTCTGAATCAGTAAATCGAAAGCGTAGGCCGAATAAAAATCGAATCTTTTATAGCAATCAAACAAAGTCCGAAACACAACAGCACTTCGGTGGTTCTGTTCCCTATCCAGTAGGGTTTGTAAGAGCGACGACGCCGGCCAGTAGAGCCTGGATGTAACGGTATTACCGAACCGGCTGGATAGGGAAGGAAGGAACGACGTCGTTGGGAAGGACGGAACGACGTCGTTAGGAGGTTAAAACGCAACAACACTTATAAAGACGCGTTTTAAAATACTTGAAGTGCAGCAACTTTAATTAGTTATAAGAGACTGGCTGCGTCCAGTCAGAGTATGACACGTGTGTCACCTTATTTTAACAGCTGAGGCTATAAATAGTAAGGGAGCTGGAGGAGGGAGATTATCGAGAAGGTATTTTGTAAATTCATATTTGGTTAATGAATGAAAGGGAGAGGGTTTGTTAGCTAATCAGTTAGGGTTCTAGCTTAATCCTAACAAGTGGTATCAGAGCCAAATTCTGGTTACATCAACGTGCGCACTCTGAATTCAATCAACCGAAGATGGCGAAGAACAACACTCGAGTGGATGCAATGGAGCAGCAGATGTCATCAATGGAAGAGCAGACGAAAGCGTTGGAGCAGCATGTAGCGAGTTTGTTCAGTGGACAACAGAATCTACGATTGGAGCTGAGTAAAGATGTAGAAGAGAAATTAATGGAAGCTAATCGACGTACGGACAGCAGATTCGATGATTTAACGAAGAAATTGGAGGAATTTGGGCGGTTATTGGTGGCGAATCGCAGCAAGGAACCGACGCCAAGCTCTGGAACTCCGGCAAATGCGTTCGGAGCAGCAAACCGAGGACGAACGGAGGGACCACTGCCGTATACGATTCCCATGCATCGGCAAGCTGACCACGTCAACTATTCATCAATTGCCGGCCACAAAGGCCCTAAGCTGGAATTTCCCAGATTTACCGGGGAAAATCCGAGGGGATGGATTCGAAAATGTCAGAAATATTTTCATGTGTACAAAACACCGGAGCACGAGAAGGTGGAATATGCATCTATGTACATGGAAGGAAGGGCTGACCATTGGTACCTTGATTATCTGGAAGGAAAGGAATCAGTGGACTGGGAAACGTTTACGGCCATGATTATGGATAGGTTTTGTGAGGAGGAGGATGAAAGTGTGGTGGAAACTTTCAACAAACTTAGGCAGGAGGGTACTGTGGAAGCATATGTGGAAAAATTTGAGGAATTAAAAGCTTTTATGTTGCACATGAATAGAACATTATCGGAGGTATATTTCATCAAGAGCTTTGTCAGTGGATTAAGGGAAGAGATTAAAAGCATGGTGAAATTACTGAAACCTCGCACTTTGAAGGATGCAGTTAGTAGTGCTAAACTGCAGGAGAAATCCTTGGAGCAGATGCAAAGAAGCTTCAAGCAAGTGGCTAAACCAGTGGGGCTAGGATTTAAGCCATACAAACAACAGCAGATAGGGGAATCGAAACTACCACCTATTAAGAAACTTACTACTCAAGAGCTGGAAGAGAGGAGGAAAAAGGGGCTTTGTTATAACTGTGATGAGAAATACACTTATGGTCATAAGTGCAAGAGGTTGTTTATGATCATGGCAGCTGAAACACAAGAGGATTCCAGTGATGAAGAATTTTTAGAAGCTGAAGAGGATATTCCAGCCGTAGAGTCAGATCAACAACTGTATAAGATCTCTATATATGCATTGGCTGGACAAGCAAGCACTAGCACCATCAAACTCATAGGAACTGCACACCGGCAGCATATTTCCATTCTGGCAGACACTGGTAGCTCTCACACGTTCTTAGATATCAATACTGCAAGGAAACTGCAATGCATCGTGGAAAAGACTGCAGCAATGAAGGTGGCAGTAGCTGATGGAAGGAAGATATGTAGTGATGCTAAATGTACTCAGTTTAGATGGGAAATAGGGGGACATTCGTTCCAAGCTGAAGTGAGATTTTTGGACCTTGGAGGATGTGATTTGGTAATTGGAGTGGACCTCATGAAACAACTGGAACCTATCACTTTCCATTTCACCAAGCAGAGAATTACCATGAGGAAGGATGGCCAAACTATTAGATTGCAAGGGGGTCAATCTGAGGTAGCTTTGAAGGCTATCACTGGGGAGAAAGTGCAGCAGCTCCTCAAGAAGGGCAAGGAATTGACACCTATATTACAAGCATTTCCAGATGTGTTCAAGGAGCCCACTGAACTACCACCTAAGAGAGGCTCAGAACATCCCATTGTCATTAAGCCAGGTATGCCACCGTTTAAAATGCAACCATATAGATATCCTTACTTGCAGAGAAAGGAGATAGAAAAAATGGTTGATGAGATGTTACTAAGTGGCATCATTCAGCATAGCACCAGTCCTTTTTCTTCCCCAGTTTTACTAGTAAAGAAGAAGGATGGATCTTGGAGGTTTTGTGTAGACTATAGGAAATTGAATGCCATTACAGTTAAGGATGGATATCCAATCCCTATTATTGATGACTTATTGGATGAGCTTCATGGAGCTAAAGTGTTTTCCAAGATTGATTTGAGGGCTGGTTACCACCAAATTAGAGTTGAAGACAAGGACATTCACAAAACTGCTTTTGTCACAGCCTCAGGCCATTATGAATTCAAAGTCATGCCTTTTGGTCTTACTAATGCCCCAGCCACTTTTCAAGCTCTTATGAATGAGATATTTAGGGAGTATTTAAGGGAGTTCATCTTGGTATTCTTTGATGATATCCTCATCTACAGTAAAGATCTAGACAGCCACAAGGCACATCTAACTACTACTTTGGAAATTTTGAGGCAGCATCAGCTCTATGCAAAAGGGTCCAAGTGCAGCTTTGGTCAAGCCCAGATTGACTACTTGGGCCACATCATTTCAGCAGAAGGGGTAGGAATGGACCCCACCAAAATCCAAGGGGTTAAGGCTTGGCCAGTTCCAAACTCAGTCAAGGCTTTGAGGGGGTTTCTTGGCCTTACTGGATATTATAGGAAGTTTGTAAGGCACTATGGGATTGTGGCTCGGCTCTTGACTGATTTGCTCAAGAAAGGGCAATTTTCTTGGTCTACTGAGGCTGGCATTGCTTTTCAAAAGTTGAAGGAAGCCATGGTTAGTGCCCCAGTGTTACAGCTTCCTGATTTCTCTAAGACTTTCATTTTGGAAACAGATGCTTGTTATTATGGTGTGGGGGCAGTTTTGATGCAAGATGGTCACCCCATTGCCTATTTGAGCAAAGCCTTGGGGCCTAGGAACTTAGGTTTATCTGTTTATGAGAAAGAATTTTTAGCTATTTTACTAGCTGTGCAGAAATGGAGGGCTTATTTGATTCACAACACCTTCATTCTCAGAACAGATCAGCAAAGCCTCAAGTATTTGTTGGAGCAAAAGATATCTACACCTTTACAGCACAAATATTTAGCCAAGTTGCTAGGTTTCAGTTATACTATTGAGTACAAGAAAGGGGTTGAAAATAAGGCAGCAGATGCCCTATCCAGAAGAGATAATGAGTTGGTGCAATCTACTCCTCCACTAGAAGCACAAGTGGCTACAATTACTGCAGTTGCTCCTATGTGGCATGAGGAAGTGCAAGCTAGCTATGTGGATGATGGCATTGCTCAAGAAGCCATTTCCAACCAAGCCATTCGGCCATGGGATGTTTCTTATTTCCACTATGCATCTGGCCTATTGAGGTTTAAAGGGAAAGTGTTTGTTGGTCAAACTGGTCATCTCAGAAACACTATTGTGGACTTTATGCACGGCTCAGGTTTAGGGGGCCATTCTGGCATCCAGAGAACGTTTCAACGGGTGCACAACATATTTGATTGGCCGGGTTTGAAGGGAGAAGTCAAGGCATTAGTTAGTGCCTGCCCCATTTGTCAGCTCAACAAGCATGAAACTTCCAAAGTGGCAGGCTTGCTCCAACCGTTACCGGTTCCAGATCAAGCTTGGAGTTATATCACTATGGATTTTATTGAGAAACTTCCACTTTCCAAGGGCAAGGACACGATTTGGGTGGTGGTGGATCGGTTCACCAAATACAGTCACTTCATCGCTCTAAGCCACCCTATGAGTGCGTCTTCATTAGCACACGTTTTCTTGAACAACATTTACAAATTGCATGGTCTGCCCACGTACATTGTCTCGGATCGTGACAAGATCTTCACTAGCACTTTCTGGGCAGAATTGTTTAAGGCTTTAGGAGTGCAGCTACAGCTGAGTACTGCATATCATCCCCAAACGGATGGCCAATCGGAGCGAGTTAATCAGTGCTTAGAAGGGTATTTGCGTTGCATGTGCAGCAAATTTCCTAAGCAGTGGGGTAGTTGGTTGGCATTAGCCGAGTGGTGGTACAACTCCACTTATCACTCGGCTATTAATATGTCCCCTTTTCAGGCATTATATGGGTATCCACCTCCTTTGGTGGGATATGGAGTCATGGAAGAATTTAAATCTGTTGGTGTGGAGCAGTGGGTCAGTGACCATGCTAAGCTGTTGCAACACCTTAAAGAATTATTGCAACGGGCTCGGGATCGAATGAAAATTCAGGCCGATAAACATCGGCAAGAACGTGCTTTTGTGGCAGGAGATTGGGTGTATTTAAAGTTGAAACCCTATAGACAATTGAGTATGCGCAAGAGTCCGGTCTGGAAGCTTACACCAAAGTTTTGTGGTCCATTTCAAGTTGTACGAAGAATTGGAGCCGTGGCGTATGAATTACAGTTACCACCCACAGCAAAAATTCATCCCGTTTTTCATGTTTCGTTGCTCAAGAAACATGTTGGGACAAGGGACCAAACAGTGGCCGATATTCCACCGTTGACAGATAATGGGGAGTTGCTTTTAGTTCCGTTGAAGGTGTTGGACCGGCGTATGGTTAAACGCAACAATTCCGCTGTGGGGCAAATGCTCATGCAATGGGCTCATCTGCCGGAGGAAGAGGCTACGTGGGAAGATGCGGCTTCCATGCAGCAACGTTTTCCTTTATTTCACGCATGAGGACATGCTCGTTAAAAGGGGTTGGTATTGTAACGGTATTACCGAACCGGCTGGATAGGGAAGGAAGGAACGACGTCGTTGGGAAGGACGGAACGACGTCGTTAGGAGGTTAAAACGCAACAACACTTATAAAGACGCGTTTTAAAATACTTGAAGTGCAGCAACTTTAATTAGTTATAAGAGACTGGCTGCGTCCAGTCAGAGTATGACACGTGTGTCACCTTATTTTAGCAGCTGAGGCTATAAATAGTAAGGGAGCTGGAGGAGGGAGATTATCGAGAAGGTATTTTGTAAATTCATATTTGGTTAATGAATGAAAGGGAGAGGGTTTGTTAGCTAATCAGTTAGGGTTCTAGCTTAATCCTAACACTGGACTGGACTAAGGAGTGGGCCAGCAAGCAAAACGACGCCGTGGAGTGGCGGAAGTTTTTGTGGAGGCCGAGGAAATTGAAGAAGCGGAGAGCTAACCTCGAGTCGTGGAGGTTATGGAGGATGAAACCCTCGATGTGGAGGGGGGTGAGGCGGGCGGAAATGGTGGGGTTGTCGAGGGCAATTGTCCAGCTCTGCTTGCTCCGTGCGACGTCGTTTAGCATTGCTATGAAATTTTCGTCATCGTCTTTTGGGCAGCGGCGGTGGGCGGCGGCGGAGGGCGGTCTGGAGAAGGGGATTCGGGCTCGAATGGGCGGCCTCATTTCTCGGAGGGATTTTCAGGCGCCCATTGGAGTTGAAGTCTACTTTTGTGATTGGATTCAAAGAAATAAATTGTGAAATGAGAAATGAGTAATTTCAATTAGCAAATGCTCCCTAGCTAATTATGTTTTTTCTTTTTTTTTTTGCAATTCCATAATTTATTTGTATTTTATTTTTATAAGTATTGTGTATTACCCTTATTTTATAATTTATAAAATATTATATAATTGATTTGATTATATCAAAAAAATTATCTAAATATTCTATAATTATTTTGTATTTTCTTCAACAACTTTAGTTTTTAGGTATTTTAATTGGATTTTAGTTACTTTTCAATTTAGAAAAAAAATATATCATACATGATAAAGTAATTAAGAAAATAGAAAGAAAACAAAATGTATATTAACATTTCTTATAAATCCAAAACAAAATATATACTAGATTTTCTTTCACAATCCTCAAAAATCCAATTACCGAGTCTATAAACATAATTTATCGTGGACCGAAATAGGCTGAGTGAGTTACATTAAGCGTTAGTACTCTGACACCTAAATTAGAACACCCATAAAAATATACTCAGAAAGAAGAGGGCGAATGTTCATGTTAATGATCTTTCATTTTGAGGATTATGAACCCTTTATTTATAGAAGCCTTACGAGTGCCATAGTTTGACCTAATTTAATTAACTGAGTCATTTCAAATTCAATATATTTCTCCAAACCTTAGTGCCTAAGTCACGAGGTGGCACTAATTACCCTCAGCTCGTACCTCGTCATCTCGCCGGCCACTCTCAGCTCGTCATCTCATCAGCTACTCTCAACACATGTACCTTGTCAACTCCTCATCTCATCAGCTACGATCAACTCGTTAACTCTTCAACAATCTCAATTAGTCTAATGACAACGTGTTCTACTTATTGAGCGTTACATTTGCGGGACTACATGTTTCAATGTTTTGGTCCGACTTTATCAAAATACAAATAAGTAGGAAAATGAGCCCGAATTCCCATGCAATCTTATCTTCTCATTTCAGCACGAGCCAACTATCGGGCCTTGGTTCCTTATGTCGTGCTAAATCAGGCCGGATGATAACAATGCAAGTAACTCCAACCTTTTTCTAACATAATTAACTCCATTTTTTTTTAATTTATTAAAATAGAGAGTTTATGTGTGGTGAATTTATGATTTTAAATTAAAGAGTAAAAAGCAGTTTGCATCCTAAACTAAGGGTCGATTTGCACTTTACCCCCCAAACAAAAAAAATTTGCACGTTTTTACCTAAACTACGTTTTTCGTTGCACGGTGCCCCCTAAACTCAATTTTCCAGCAATTTTAACCAAAATGTTAAAACATGTGCTTTGCACGTGAGATTTTGAGGGGTAAATTCGTCCCTTCACTTGCATCTTTAATATTAAATACAAATATATATTAAAAAAAAAAAAAAAAAAAAAAGAATAAATAAATAAATGAAAAAGAAGCTGTCATCCACATCCACATCATTAAAAAAACCAAAAAAAAAAAAAAAGCCCAGACCATCATCATCTCTTCTCTTCTCTATCGTGTCTCCTCTCTTCTTCATCTTCTTCCCTTGTTTTATTTTTCTGAACAAATTTTCTCCAAATGTTCATTAATGGAGAAAACGTTTATACATACTCACCCAAAAGGAAGCCGTTTGTAACCTTTAAAACGCGGCCCCTTCATTTCCCAATTATCACCACTTTCCGCTAAGCTACTGCCGCCAATTCCTCCATCTTCAATCCCACACTACACGCTCAGAGATTTCAGTATTTTTTTCGAAACATGTAGAATTCGAATTTTGTTTTCGTCGTTTTTCGTTTCTATTTTACATATATAAATCCAAAATTTTGGGTTTTTTGCAGGACCGATTTTTGGTAGCGGGAACCGCCCATTTTGGTAATTGGAGTTTGTATGATTCGGTCGGAAATCGGATCCTTTCGGTGTCGGGGCGGATTTGGATTCTCCTCCGCCTCCCGATCGGACCAATATTTCAACAGTCCCCGCGGCAGTCACGCTCGCCGCGATCGGCGATTCACCAGCTCAGGCAACCCCCACACCTCAAGTGAGAATCCTATATTCGGATGTTGAAGGTGAAATCCCTGCTGCAAATTCACCCCAATTTCATCATCTTGAAAACTTATATTCGGATGTTGAAGGTGGAAAGTGGGTTTCAACTAAGGAAGCATTTCTTGTCCAGTTGAGAATGCCTATTGTTTCTTTGCCAGGTTACTCACTTTAGGAAGACGATGATAATTTCCCTTTTCTCTTTTTTTTTTTAATGATTTATTTATATTTAATATATAGCAGTTAAGTGGATTGACGAATTTACTCCTCAAAATCTCACACATGTTTTAACATTCCGTTCAAAATTGCCGGAAATTTGAGTTTAGGGGGCACCGTGCAACGAAAAACGTAGTTTAGGTAAAAACGTGCAAATTATTTTTGTTTGGGGGGTAAAGTGCAAAACGGCCCTTAGTTTAGGGGGTAAACTGCTTTTTACTCTAAATTAAAATGATGATAGTAAAATAACAAAGGTGGTGAAAATAGTAAAACTCTTTCTTTCACGCCACGTCATCAAAAGCACCTATATCCATTTTGCTGACTCATCAAAACCACAATAAATTACAAATACATAAATGGAAAACCAGATTTCATCTCTGTCGGTAACAAGCAATCTCCGTTCACACCCCCATTTTTACAATCTTCACGCAGTAAAAGATCTCCACTCTCCTCAGAAAAATTGACATATATTTCTGTATCTATACTATACGTACGCCTCCGCAGTAGAAATGTACAGGACCGTTTTTTTTTTTTTTTCGTTCGAAATGATTCACATTTGATCAGAATGCCACCGTCGTCAACGGCTCGCGGCTCGGCTTATCTCACGGCGCTCGCCGTCGAGATTGAGAAGAAGCTCCGCCGTGTATGTAATTTTCTCAATCTGTATCGATTTTATGGGGTTTCTGCCTGTTTATGTGATGATTCCTTTTTTTTCCTCCTTAATTTTAACCTTTAATTCAAATAAAATTACTTTCCTATTTGGTACTTTAATTTAATTTTTTAGTGATTGATTGATATTTGATATTAATTTTGGCTGTTTATTCTTCAGGCGTTGGCTTCTCCTTCGCAGAGGCGAAATTTGTTGCAGGAGTTGTTTGCGGACGTAGCTTTGGAAGTAGATGACCGTGCGAAAGGTAAAATCACACGAATTATTTTGGTGCACGTTTTTCTCGTTTTTTAGCACTTAATTGATAAGTTCATAGATACTGCATGCCGTTACTGAATTTAATTTGAATTCGAAGCAAAACTGTTAAGGAGAGGTTCGATTTGTTACATACATATAGAAGCAGCCGGCAATCAGTTTCGATACATATTAATATCTTGGTAATTTTCTTTGGCATGTTTAACTAAAACTACTTGAGCCTGCAAATAATTGTTGTGATGTTACTGGTTCCAGGTTCCTGCAATAGAATTTAAGACGCTGTTTCTGTAACTCGATTATTGTCCGTTTGGTTTCGAATAACCTCTTTCAACCTATTCGATGAGTTCTGTTTGCAGTGTATCTTTTCTATTGATATCGTATTTGAAGATAAGATTAGAAAGTCCCCACAATACTTTCTGTGGTACTAGAGGTTCTAACGTTTGAAGGTACTTCTCTGGTTTTCAAAAAGCAGATATTATTTTTGGCGAGGAAGGTTCAATTTCCGTGGCGGACGATAGGTATGGTGGCCCTATATGCTTTTACGATGTTCTTGCCGATTATTTTGTTAGCATGCCCCAAAATGAGAAGTCAATCCTCGATCTGATTGTACAACATTGGAGCCAGTCGTTTGCATCGAATATTTTCTCTCTGTTGTTCCACAAGTGGGTATGTCGTTACTCTATTGTGGAAGTTTCCTTCATTTCAGTGACAATTGAAAATTTTCATTACATCTCACCAATTTTCTAACTTGCACTTTCACGCTGCAGTTGTTCGAGGTTCAGCTTGATAATCCTGAGGTCCTACTCCGGTATTCTTCTGCTCTTGTCCAAGGTTCCACAAACGTCTTCTGGTAAGAAGATTTTACCTGTTGCTTAGCATACTAAGTGTCTTTCGCATGCTATAGTGTGATTTAAGTCAAGCATGTTCTTTAATTTTCTCAGTCAGGTAAAGCTAGTAGCAGTTTGATAACCGTTGTCAATGGCGCAGCTTTCTTTGAAAATCTAAATTGTGATTTTTGCAATGTGGTAGGTAGTACGATATAAGATATGAGTGAGTTTTCCTAGAAAGAAGTAGAAGAAATATGTTCCTGGTTTACTTCTATTAAGAAACATGCCTCTCCGACTAGCTACTTTCCGCTTTCCGTGTTTGCATGATCTATATCTCTTTCTTTTTACTTCCTCGAAACTCCTAAATTTTTTGATTACATCCGATGATATATACCTTTTCTGTTTGAGAATGTTATCCCTCTCCCAACACACACACACGACACACACACAAATCACTTCCTTCGACCTAAAGAGAGCAAAATATCCTTTCCTTTTCTTTTACGCCTTAGAAATTTGATTGAGGCAGTTGTCTTATATCTAATATGCATGAATCCAGGATAGATATCCAAACAAATACAAGGCGTTTCCAAAGTCTATTTCAGGTGAGATGTTTTTCATAATATAAATTCTTAAAATTCCTCGTTAGGTATGCACTTTAGGACATCACCTTTGTCAATGGTTGTAGTATCTCCTAGAGGAAGTTGCTCTATATTCTGACAGATTAAAGAAGATCCCGTTACAGGTCTCGAGCATTTTATATTGTTCATCGTTATCAGATTCTTATGTTTTTTTCATGAAATCATATTTAGCTGTAACTTGATTTTCTGGTCGTTTATTAGGCTCAGAGAGACCTGTTTCTTCTTCTCTCAAGGTTCATGTTCTTTTACAACTCAGGTTGATTAATCTTTCAACATATATATTTGCTTACCACAACAGCCCAATTGTATGTTCCGTTTTCCTCAATACTTGAAAACTTATCTTAAATGTGAATCTTTACAGTTGACAAGCTTGAAAGCTTTTTGAAGCAGTTTCCTGATTTTCCAAACGCTTTCTTGATCGGTGGTCCCTCAGACATATTTGTAACAGAATTGGCTGATCAGGTAACAAACTATGTATACTTTTGAAGTTTTATTCACAAGCAGGGAGACTTAGTCGACTACTCTTTGTTCTAAATTGATATCTTTGCTGTCAGCTTCAAAAACTAAAGGTGGAGCCAGTTCTTCTGCATTATCTCTCTGAGCTTAAAGTTCTCCAAGGTAAGGACTGCTAATTTGTAATCGTGAGCGGCATGTTTAACGAATTGATTTGTTTCTTTTTCCTTTTTTTTTTTGTATCGAATAAAGTAGTAACATCACTTTTGGTAATACTTTTATTTTATTTCTTTTCGACAGGTCTAGAACTTAGAATGACAACTAGTACAAGACTGAAAACATGTCTGTACAGCTTCACATCGCCCGGTGGTCCAATGTATCCAACGAGAGCTGTTCGTCATGCAGCATGGGATGCCTTGGATTGTCTTTTTCCCGTGAGTGATTATTGCACGTAATAAAGTATAATCTATCAAGTATAATTATTCTTGTGCCGAAATTAAGTGTCAAATATAACTCGAAATACTGTTTTACAGGTTGGGAGGTACCCTCGGCATCTTATAAGTCTCTTCTTCCGATTGCTATATCCATGGTACTGGCCCTCGTCTTGTTGGAACTTTGTAATTTCTTGTTTACAAGCTGTTTTATATTCTCTGTTGAGGTTGGTTTTTTCTAGCTGGGAAAATCTGAGAAAACCGAGACACTAGTAGGTAGATTTAGATGCTTGCATAATGTTTTAAGCTTATCGAGGTAAGTTTGCGCTCAATCTGCTCGCTGGGTTAAAAAAAAATGTGTATTATGTAATGATCTTTTCGTGTAATAATAAACTTGAAACTTGGACACTGGATTCGAACTTTGATATTAAGTATTCCGCTCGGTGCCTGTTTTTCGTTAGTAAATACTAAATGGCTTAGCTAGTCTTTGATGAATTATTTATATTTATGAAATACAGATTTCTACAGATTAGTAAGTTGCTTATGATTTTTATAGGGTGTGTTTGGATAATAAAATAAGTAGTCTATTACGAAAAAAATTGGAATATTTGTGGCAGCATCTACTGGTCTACTATTTGTTGAGCGTGGAGTCTCATCAACCATGCAGCTACACCTAATAAATTAATACTTGATTTTGTGTCTGAATTTTCTTCAGCTAAGGGTAAATTTAATTTAATATCTTCCAGTCAAAGGTTAATATTGAAAAAATAGTGCATTACTTTGATGAAAGTACATGAACTCAAAGAGAACAACACATCGGTCTCGAGTAATGTTTACATATATCTTAAGGCCTCGTCTAGTTGGTGAAATTAGTCATGATTAAATAAATAATTGAACTTTCTCGTCTAGTTGGTGAAATTAGTCATGATTAAATAAATAATTGAACTTTCTTTGAAGTTTGATATTTCAATAACTTGCGGATTAACCCTTAAATATTATGTAATCGTATTATAAGACAATTGGATTTATTAAATTATTTATTTTTATGTTAGTTAATCTTAGAAAAACTCAATAAAGATTTTATTGGGAGGATTATATTACACTTTTGGTCCGTCATGTTGATTCGATCCAGCTTTTTGTGTCCGTTGTTCCAAAGTTAACAAAGTTCACCTCAAAGATAAATATTTAAACAACCTGATATTTATTCGTTTAACCTCCTAGCTTGACCGAGGGATGCACGAAAAGACTAAAAGACTAAACGCCCCACACACAGACAAATCCTGAAAGAAATGACAATATCCCATCCACTCATCACCTGTAAAAATCTCGAAGAAGAATAAGAAGAAGCAGACCCGGATTTTCGGAGAATCGAATTTCCGTATTTTTTCACCTTAAATTTCCATGGCGAGGGCTCTGATTTCATCCCCTTCTTTCCTGGGAACTCCTCCTCTCCTTCCCCCGCCATGGATTAGTACCTCGGGGCAGGCGCATCAGCACCAAAGTCAAATTCAGTCTCAATTGAGAGAGCTGAGAGCTTGATGTACACTCTCGCCGACGCTGCCGTGGCGACGGCGGACGGAGGCGGATGGAAGTTGTCTTGAAGGTAAGAAGAGCTTTACTTTAAATCAGTTCTACAAGTGAAAACATTAAACAAGATAATCATTTATCATCATGTATGGTGATCGAAAGTCAATTTTGAGCTGCCTCGTAATAAAGTTCAATAACCAAGAATTTGAAAACCCTTAATTCAAACACTTTTTGTCAAGGCATTAACATAATTCATGAACACGAAAACTTTACTTGCATCAGGTCCTCAAGGATGGATTTGCAGCTGTCCATGTGTCGTATTCGTATGGATTTGCGATAATACTGCTCACTATTCTTGTCAAAGTTGCCACATTTCCATTGACCAAGCAACAGGTACTCTTGCCACTCAGTTTGCTCTAGCCTACTTTATTTATTTATTGAACTATTTATGTTTCTCGGGGTTTACTTACTTTATTGTGTGTATGATTTCTTACTTCTGCCTTGTGTATGATTATCTTCATTCGATAAATATCGATTTCTATCTAGATAGTATCTATTGAATAATCTGAAATTGTTTATATATAAGGTCGAATCAACGCTAGCAATGCAGAATCTTCAACCAAAGATCAAAGCTATCCAACAAAGATATGCAGGAAACCAGGTGAGCATCTTCACCCGTGTTCTATGTAAAACTATCAGTTTTTTTTTTCTTCTTTTTCTCCGGTTATGCATGTGTAGTATTATGTAAGCTTCTTGAAAAGGGACAACATGATTAAACATATTATCGGGGTCACTTGATAATCATAACTATTGTGAAGACAAGGGGAAACATAAAATACAAATTGGCAGTCTAAACAAAATTGGATGAAGGCATGGTTGGTTTTTATTTTTAAAGGATCTTTCTCATGGAAAACTATCACAAAGTTCCCATATTAGACTGTTATTTTATAAGGATGAATCTATCCGAGACACTTTTGAGAAGACATATAGGTGTGGATGAGTTGTTGTGGAGGTTGAATTAGTTTCAGTTAATAGGCATGCAGATTTGTAAAGAAAAATGTTACTGTTTGCTTATGGGGTGAGAGGCTTGCATCTACATGGAACATAAAGTTTCTCCACTGTTGCGGAGGTGGGTGTGGGGATTAGGTTGGGTTAGAGCTGGTAGAGTTCTTATAACTCTGTAGCTTAATTTTGAGGCTTGATATACAGGGATAAGTATTCAATATAGAAGTTTTACAATTTGCCACCCCCGCCTAGGTGAACTAACTGTATATTAAATCTTTCAGGAAATAATACAACTTGAAACTTCTCGTTTATACAAACAGGCAGGGGTCAATCCTCTGGCAGGTACTGTTTCTATCCATCAACTGAACTTATATTACATATAATTATATCATTTTTTATTTATTTATTATGGGTTAGTCCTTGCCTTTCTCAAGTTAGAGACCAAGCTAACGTGCCTTAAGAAAGCCCGTTATTACACTGCGTAAAAGATTTCATGTCCCTTTCATTGTCTGCTCATGTCACGCCCACCAAGTAAATTTCAAACCAATCCCAGGAACCTTCTTGGAGCCTGTCTTTCATCAATAGGTTTTAATTATCATTTTCACACTCGATCGGGTATTTTTTGGGGGGTGGGGGGGGGGGGGGGGGCGTGGTGTTATATCTAATCATTTGTATTTCTTCTTGCTTCCTATGGAGTGGTTACTGGACTTTGACTTAATAGTTGTAAATATATAGGTCTAGGATAAAACGGGTTTTAAAATTAAATATAAAAGAATAAATGAAGATAAAACAAGAGGAAAGGGGAGGGTATGACTGCATTTCTAAACTTGAAGATTGTAACATGTGCAAATATTAATTTCTTGCTGGCTATGTTGATATTTCCCCTCAAACTGATCAGTCATTAAAGAATACGTTGATTCTATGTGGAAAAAGCTATGTTTGGTTTTTATCAAGCCCTCAAACTGATCAGTCATTAATTCGTTCAGTTTATTCAAACTAGGCAGTGTTTAACTCCTTTGTTGCGGCAGTAAATGTCGCTATTGCTATTTTTATCACAGCAGGTTTATACTGTTTTTTTTCTTCTCGTAAATGGACTGTTACAGGATGTTTCCCTACATTGGCTACAATACCAGTCTGGATAGGCTTATATCAAGCTCTTTCAAATGTGGCAAATGAGGTACACCTGAAACTGGTTCAGCATAGGCATATTTACTTTGCCCGATTTGTCATTCTCGGAGCTATGATGACATTATTTTGTTTTTTTTTTTCGTCTAAATTATTCATCAGGGACTACTAACTGAAGGATTCTTTTGGATTCCTTCTCTGGGAGGGCCAACATCAATTGCTGCTCGGCAAAGTGGATCAGGAATCTCCTGGCTATTCCCATTTGTGGTAATTGAAGTTAACTGGTCTCCCCAGCTGTCAATTAATTTAGAATTTTCTTCTTTGTTTGGCATTTTATTTCTCACAATATCCCTTGCCCGTTTTCTGTCTTTGCTTATATTCCCTGAAATCCTATCGATCAGGAAGCTATCTTCAGCTAATGACGTCAATTATTACTGCATTTATGGGATATATGAATAAAATGTATCTGTGTATTGCCAATTTTGCAGGACGGGCATCCACCACTTGGTTGGTATGATACTGCTGCATACCTTGTTTTACCTGTTCTTCTTGTTGCATCGCAGTTCGTGTCAATGGAAATAATGAAGCCTCCACAAGTAAGTTTCCATGTAGTTTGATCTGTGTTTTCGTGCATTATTACCTTCTGGCCATGTGGCACTGATATCTTAATCCTGTTTTGGTAGACAGATGATCCAGCTCAGAAGAACACGATGATTATATTTAAGTTTCTCCCACTCATGATTGGCTACTTCTCTTTGTCTGTTCCATCCGGATTATCGATATACTGGTAAGTTTCATTATTTATTAATCCATTTCATACACGGTGGCATGCATGGGATACTCATATGTAATGAGACTAATCTAATTCTTTTCTTTTTCTGTGGGAACATTTGTCATTCATAAATTGATTTTTTTTTACAACCAATAAACTGTTTAGGCAATTGCCTTAATTAATTTATTGCACACTGGCTTGCCTATCTTACTATATAACTTAATACAATCACTAACGAGTTCAATATTTTAGGTTTACAAATAATGTTCTTAGCACAGCACAGCAAGTATGGTTACGTAAAATGGGAGGTGCAACGCCTGCTGTGAGTGAGAATGCTGGTGGGATAATCAGCGCTGGACGTGTGAAACGATCAGGTTCTCAGTCGGAGCAATCGGGTGAAAGGTGGGCTTGAAATTTAAGATTTTTTTTTTAAAAATCCTTTTGCTTTCCCAGAATGTTCTTCAGTGACTAGAATTACTTTTTTCTTAGCAGATTTAAACAGCTGAAAGATCAAGAAAAGAAGAAAAAGAATTTTGCACTGCCTGCAATTGATGTTCAGGCCAAAGTTGATCCTGAGCCTGAATCTGACTCAGACGATGAAAATGACCCTGAAGTTCTTTAAACACCCCCAGCGCCTTGTCAACAAGACCATGTCGAGCGAGCCCTGTAATTAGTGCATTGCAAGCCCCAACTTCCACTTGACCCATATCTTCAAGCACTAGTGACATCTCTAAGGCACATCCACATTTGCCGTACATATCAATGAGTGCACTCACAATACACTTGTCAACAGCAAAACTGTTCTTGATCACATACCCATGAACTTGGGTGCCTGAACTTAAATACCCCAAGTCACCTATTGCAGGAAGAACACTAGAAATGCTAGTCCCATCTGATTTAAAACCATGCTTATGCATCTGCTGAAACATCAAAACTGCATCCAGAAAACACCCACTTCGATTAAACCCTGCAATCATACCATTCCAAGACACAGTATTCGGTTGAAACCCAAGATTTTTAACCTCGTTAAAAACTTTTCTCGCATTAACTGCATCCCCTTTCCTTGCATAACCAGCAGCCAATGCGCTCCAAGAAACAACATCTCTCTCAACCATATTGTCAAACAGCTTGTGAGCGTCAACTAATTCATCACATTTCACATAAAAATGAACCAAAGAAGACTGAACAAAAGAATCCAAGGATATACCAGATGCCAAAGAAAACCCATGAACTTGCTTTCCGATTTTAACAGCCAGTAGTCCGGCACAAGCCTTGATCACACTCGGCAAAACATGGGCATCCGGGAAAAGCCCGTGTTTGAGCATTCGAGAAAATACACTGAGAATGTTATCAAAATCGTTAAACTTGGAAGATGCATTAATAAGGGTAGTGAATGAGATAATATCGGGTTCGAACGAGAGAATGTTTTTGGCATCAGAAAAGCAGCGGTGGTTGGCATAGAGAGAGAGTAGCTTGGTTCTATAATAAGGGAATTGACAGAGACCTGTTCTGAGTATTTGGGCATGGATCTGCCTTACCTGAGTTGGTGATGCAGTGGAACTTCTGCTTATTAGATGCTCTAGGTCTGGAATCCGAGACGAAATCGAAGAATCGACTCTCAATTTTCCGGGATCCAACGCCACCGTGTCTTCAATTGTGTGGCCGGAAAAATTGTCCGGCAGGCCGGGAAAAGGTTCCCGGAAGTCATCCGAGTGGGCATTCTCAGCCGGAGTGGGATTAGAGCAAGCGCAAGATGTGGTCAGGAGTCTCCATAATGCAGGGGTTCTAGTGTTTATGTGAAAGGGTTTAGCCGAAGAGAAATACAGAGATTGGAGTGGAGATTTGAGTGATGACATTTATTTTCTGAAAGACGCTATTTTTTATCGATGCTGTGGTGATAACCCGGTTGAAAAAAAATTGAAGTAAAAGATGAAGAAAGAAGAGGTGGGAAGCTCATATTCTATCAAGCTTTGAAGCATTCAGAACGAGGAATTACTTTTATAATCACCGCCAACCACCTCTCTTTTCTTCATCAAATCCAATCTCGATATAATCATCAAATCGAAGAGAAAACAAACAAATAAATAATGTTTTCATCAATTGGATGGAGAGAGAGAGAGTAGAGAGAGAGAGAGAGTGCATACTGTGTTTGATCGTGCACGGCGAAGCGCTGTAGAGGAGAGGAAGGTTGCGAATGAAGTAAACCGTAGCCCACCGAGGGTAAACAAACTGGGCTGCACTAATGGGCCTGTATTTAATGGGCCGGTCAATTATCTAATTCTAAGCCTATTTACTATCACACCTAGGGGTGAAAATTGGAACGAAAATTCCGATTTCCGCCGAATCCGATCCGAAATATTCCGATTTTGGAACGACTTTTTCAATTCCAAATTCCGAAATTCCGATTTCCAAAAATTCCGAAAATAATCGGATCGGAATCGGAAATACATAACAGAATTTCGGAATTTCCGATTTCCGATCCGAAATTATTCCGATTTATTCCGATTTTTCCAATTATAATATTATTAATATTTCTTACTATATATAATATATGTATATATCTATCCGCCTGTACTAATTACTAATATTTTTTTTCCAATTATTATATATATATATATATATATATATATATATATATATATATATCATTATATATATATATATGTCTTGGGAGTATCATTATATATACTGAAATGATTTACGCGGCAGCAAAATTACGAATGTCGTTCACAACAGTCTTTTCTTTCTCTCTCTAAAAATCCTCAATTCCACCCAAACCCCAAAATCCCCAAAAGTCCCAAAATTCACAAAAACCCTCAACCTCTCTCACAAATCCTCCAAAATCAGAAAATTTCGTCAATTTGAAAGGTAATTAATCATCTAAAATAGTTATATATATTGAATTTGTGGTTAATCATGTGAAAATCCCCTGAAAATCGCGATTTATGGCTATTTTTAGTGTTGGGTTTTCGATTTTTTCACGCACAAAATGGGTGTGGAAAAGCAGTTTCCACGCCTGATTTAGGCGTGGAAACAACTTTCTCACGCCCATTTTGGGCGTGGAAAATTAATTCGGGCGTCCGGTCCAGACGTTGGTTCTGGACCGGTCGTCCGGTTCAATTTTTTTTTTTTGCCCAGTATACCTGAAATGAATAATTATATTTAAATAAGTACTGCTTCATAAACATGCTGTAGCCTAGTTGGTTAGGTCTTTTGTCTAACAAACAATAGGCCCGTGTTCGAGTCTTTGTAGTAACGCGTATTTATTAATTTTTTGCCCAGTATAATGAAATAAATAATTATATTTGAATAAGAATTTTCATTTATCAAAATGGCAGTAGCCGACTTGGTTAAGCAAGCAGGCATTTGTATTGCAACAACCCGGGTTCGATTCCTTGTTGCAACACAATTTTGTTTTTTTTTATTAAAACACAGTCAGCACTCGCACCCAAACCGGGCGCGGAAAGCTGTGTCGCGCGCCCAAACCGGGCGTGAATCGAGTTTTTTTGCGCCCAGTTTGGGCGTGAAACGTATTTTTCGGCGTCCAAATTGGTCGTGGGTCGCGTTTTCGCGATTTAAAGAACAAAAACGAACAAATTTTATCTCATTGGATTCCGTATCTCGATCCTCATTCGATGGACTCATTTTTTTTTGCAAATGGCTACAATAACATGAGTTTTGGAATGATTTCTAATATAAAAGCTAAAATTGTAGAGAGAGAAAGAAAGATAGAGAGTGGATTTTTTAAAACGACATTCGTAATTTTGCTACCGCGAATATCACCTCCCTTATATATATATGTCTTGGGAGGTGGGGGCCCACATTTTCCCCATTTTCTATTTTCTTTCTCGTTTTCTTCCAGCCCGTTTAATATCAAAACGGCGCCGTTGTTTTCTTTTCCTCCAATCCACAGCGGCCGTTGTTTTCTTTTTGTTTAATTCTTGAAGCAGGTCGATTCCAAAATTCCTCCGTGTGGCCCCGTTTCCTTAATTTCTTTTCGCTTTTCTTTCTTTTTCAATTCTTTCACCTCTATCTCCGGCGCCTCCTATCTCCGGCGCCTCCTCTCTCAAAAGCTATAGCCGACCACCAAAGGCAATCGAGAGGGCCTCGCCGCTTCCAGCGTCGGCGAGCATAAACGCCGCCGCCTACACGAACGACAACCTCTATGTAGCACCCAGGTCAACTAATTTCATTTTCCTTCGTATTAATTATATTGCTTGCCTCTGCTTTTGTTTTATTCGCTGCATGTGGGTGTGTTCTATTTTTGTCTTCAATTTCTTGGTTCCTTGGTGATTTGGCATTTAACAATTAATTATGCTTTGTTTGTTATATACAATTAATTATCAACTTCCTTTTAATTTTACACATCCATTGTGTGGTTTTAAGTTTTGCGGTACCTTCTGTGAATCATAAGTTTTTGGTGCCTAATAGAATATAGACATATATATTTGTACTATGACCTATTTTCTTTATTGGTTTCATCCAACAAGCCTCCATTTATCTACTTTTTGGTTTTATCCAGCAAGTTGAATGGAAGAGAATTTGATGTTCGGCGAAAGTAGAGATTGCATGGGTTGGTTTTAAGAAACTCACCGGCGACTTTTGTTTACATGGTTTTGTTTACCAGCGATGTGTTCTCCTTGTGCTTACAGAGGTGGCCCTAAAGATATTTACATGGTTTTGTTTCTCTCATTTCTACTTTTTAATTTTCATCAATATACACAGCTCATTGCTAATGGAGAGTTTATTACTACTTGTAGCATATCTCACAAATTTCCGATTAGTGATTCAGCATAATGTTGAGATCGAGGTTGTTGAAATTCTATTTCACATGATGAAACAATACGGTCAAAATTGGAGAGCCTAATTCAGTTCATATTTGTGTCATTTAATTGCTATTTTCTATGCTTCATTTTCTATTTATTTTTTAGTTCCTGTTTTAAATACATTATTTCCTTGTTGTTTTGCTATTTCTTGTATATCAGATTGCAAAACGTTTGAAGCTTTCTTCAAGGTATTCACTGAATTAAGCATCAATAACAGGTATATTATTTCTTTTCTAATTTTTTTTTCAATTTTTGTTCATAAATTGAACTTTTTTTAAAAATTGGTTCTCTTTTGGGATTTTTGTCCTGGTTTTTAGGCTCTCTGTAGCTGTAACAACCAGCAACGGATCCTTAATTGTTTGATTGATTCTTGATGTTCAATTTCTCTTTATGTATTAGATTAGTTTCCGGTGAACTTTGTTGATCGTTTTGTTTTGCCATCTTACTGAATCCTTTAATATTCGCCGTAGCTGGGATTGAATTGAGGATGACGAAATAAACTGGAAAGCAAATAACTTAAGTCATTCTGTTAACAATGAAGGATTGACATTACTGATTCGTCCAACAAAATCAGGTAAAGAATCACACAATATAATTTTGTGCTGAAACTGTTATTTTAGTCTTTCATGCAAGATCGAAAAAAGTTTTCATTTATTTTCTTCTTTTATTTCTTTGTTTTGGTTGGTCTATGCACTGTGGGAGTTATTGGTTTATTCTTTTGAGTTTCTTGGTCGGTAATATTGCCACAGATAGGCTGGTTCTTTTGACTCTTAAATTTATGATTTTTAGTTGTAATTGCCAACGGCATGAAGTATAAGCTGTTGTCCAAACGTGGAAAACACTATAATAATTCGTCGAATACTTGTACTCTTGGTTTGATTGAAAACGTAGTAATTGGACAACCAAACCTTCACTAATGCCTATAACATTGCATAAAGTGGATCACGAGTCCAGGATTAGAGAGTCCAACAACAATATTAGAAGGGTTACTGATCTCTATTATGATCTATCAACTTCTTCGACTAAATCAAGGGATTTCTCTGCATACAATGGCATGTAATATTTCAAATATGTTAGTTTAAGGTCATATTTTACATGTGATGGTTGAAACAGGTTGCGACAAATTTTGTATTTAGCTTCATGCGAATAGAATTATAGCAAAATAACCCTGTAATTTTGGACTACATTGAATGGGCACCAACACCGCGCTTTGCGCGGTGCTCCCAACACTAGTATATATATATATATATATATATATATATATATATATATATATATATATATATATATATTTATATTTGAACATATTATTATTTTTTAATTTTCTAAAACATACAAAAGTCAAAAACTCAAAATTTATTAAAATTACTTCGCAGCCTAATTTCCCGACTCTCTCTCTGCAATCCGACCTTTCTTTCTCCCCCACCACCACCAGCGCCTTCTCCGACGATCACCACCACCACCACTGCCTCCCGGTTCTCCGACGACCACCACCACTAGCGCATCTCGGCTCTCCGACGACCACCACCAGCAGCAGCGGCTCCCAATTCTCCGACGACCACCACCACTTGCGCCTCCCGATTCTCCAACCACCACCATCGCAACCAGGCCTCCCGGCTCTCCGAAGACCACCACCACCAGCGCCTCCCGGCTCTCCGACGACCACCAGCAAAGCCGCTCTCTCTATCGGGTATTTTTAGAATAAATCTAATTTAATTGATTCAAATTTAATCTTCATTCAATTGATTTAATTTAATTTTTGGTGTCTGTTGTGTGTTTTTGTGTGAGTATGTTCTGTTTTGCTACTGTGTCGGTGCTCATTTTTTTTTTAGTTTTTTTTTTTTGGGGAAAATTCCGAAAAATTTCCGAAAATTCCGAAAATGAAGATTTCCGAAAAATTCCGATTTTCCGAAAATTCCGAAAAAATCGGAATCGGAATCACTTTTTGAATTCCGAAAAAATCGGAATCGGAATCGGAAGTCGTTTTGGACTTCCGAAAAAAATCGGAAATTTTCCGAAACACCCAAATCCGATCCGATCCGTCCGATTTCCACCCCTATTCACACCCAATTTTGTCGACCCGGATTCGAGACATCCGAGTCAGTCCTCTTCCTTCTAGGGTTCATATCTCTCACCTTTTGTTCTAAACCTCTGAAAATCGATTCTGCCCGAGGAGGATTTGTTTCTGTGGAACTCCGTTTCCTTCTCAATTAAGTGCGATTTTCGGATTTAATTTATATTGTATGTATGTATTTCTATTTGCTAGATTTTCATGTTTTCGTTTTTTTTTTCTCAGGTTGTGTGGGCAGTAGTAAAGTATACTTGCTTCAGGCATGGCAATTAATCAGCCACCATCTGGTTCACAGGTAAAGTTTAGCTGATCGCATTTTGTAAACTGTAACTCGGTTCTCATTGTTCTGGTCGAAATTGACGGAATGGATACCTAGCATGGAAATGGCAGCTCTGTAAGAGAATTATATTACTACTGAGTTAGGTTTTGCATATTATATTTAGATGGCAGCTCTGTAAGAGAATTATATTACTACTGAGTTAGGTTTTGCATATTAGTTCCATTGAGTTAATTGAGACTAGCGAATTGAGTAATTCTTGACTGAATATAGTTGTGCGCGTAACTTTTGAATTGAGACATTTATTTTCAGGGCTTTTTCTGAAAGACAGTGATTTTTATCAATGCTGCGGTGATAACCCGGTTGAAAATCCAACCCGACCCGGGATCCGTTCCGCACCAAAAACCCACCCACTTATTGTATATCCGGGTCAGTGGGTTCGAAAGTCTAAACCCGTTTCTAGTATTCGTAGATCATCTTGTTCAAAATAACCACAGTATAAATTAGGAAGAAAAAGAAAATAAAAGAGAAAAGGAGATAATGGTTTCCGATACGTCTAACTCGAATTCCGGCGACGGAGGGGCAGATGCCGATCTGCCGCGCACTTTCAAGTATTTGTTAGGTTTGTAAAGTTCGCATCCGTCAATTAATTTTTATTTCTTCGAAGTCGATTTTTTTTTTTGCAGTATTTACGTATAATGATTGTATGTATAGCTACGCAGTTCCTGTCAAGAGGAATCCCATTCATATTCAATTCCTGGATTGTCAGACACCTCTCCGAAGAAGATTACGCGGTAATCATATTTTTTAGTACTTGTTATTTGCTTAGCATTTGTTTTCTCTTTTTGGGGGTTATGATTCGAACTTTATTTGTAAAAACTATGGAATTATTTGAGGAAAGGCAAGTTTTAGAAAATGAATTTTAAATGAAGTAAGAGTTGTAGTTTTTGGGTGAATTGAGTTGCAAAAACTCGATTGGTTACCCCAGTATAACACCGGCATTTTTTAATGATATTTTAAAGACTTCGCATGTTTAAGTTTCTGGTTCTGAGTTCATATGTTTCTATGGCAGACGTTTCGTGTTATTGATTTTATGTTCATCGTTTATTCAAGAGAATTACGTATGTGTATAACTTGATAATATAACTTTGTCTTGGCATAACGTGGGACTGCTATCTGACTCGCTGTATTTCTTGACACAATGCAGCTCTTTGCTGTACAGTTCCATCTGTTTGTTACCTGTGTATTGTTTCTAAGTCGAGAGGGGTTTCGACGAGCGTGCATGAGGGCAGATATGAAATGGTACCTTTGAATGTTTTCATTTTTGCTATTTTTGCCTCAATAAATAAATAAATATATATATATATATATATATATATATATATATATATATATATATATATAGTCCATTCTCTTATACTTGCTGTTTAGCCCTAGATTGCCTTCACTACTATTGCTTCCATTAGGTAGTTCATAACTTCAATTGAATCATGTGGTTTTGTGCTCTTAATCCACACATAATATCCATCATAACGATGACATTTAGCAGCTTTACTTCGATTTTATTTGTAAAGGGTTCGAAAGAGTAATTGGTGTGCGTATCATCAATCGAAGTTTAGGTGGTTTCCTGTTGTAGTATTCGATATAAACCGATCTTGTCACTGGTTAACATTTATCGCAGTTAAATGTTCTTGTTCCTTAATTGTCTCAATGCTCATGTCTCCCAAGTCTTCTAGTGCGTCAAATAATAATTTCCTGACGGATATATTGCAAACGCAACCATATGCATGAAAGATTAGTCTTCTTCAGTTTTCTGAATTTAATCCGGGAAATCGATTTACATGTCTCTTGCAGTGATGGTGATTCGGGAACAGGAGTAAATGCAAATGCAGCTAAGCTTTTGAAAGTGGGCTGGATGACTTTTCCTTTAGGAATACTAGTTACACTTGCAGCATGTTTATTTGTCTTCTGGTGGCAAGGCCTAAGTTATTCTAGTCCATATGCACAAGCTATCTTGATTCATGGTGAGCTAATTACATACTCATATGATTCGCAAATCTAATCATGTGGGTGGTTGGGGTTCGTCAAGATTAAGATTGAGGTAATTAAAAAAAAAAAACAGATGCATTGTTACTATAGAAATGAGGTGGTCATTTGTTCATTCATTCATCATGGGGAGTGGATTGGTGAATTTAGGTTTAACTCCTCAATTTTGAAATCGACGAATCATTTTTTAGATCATGTTTTGTGGGTCAGTCACATATTTCGACCAATTATTATGCTTGGGGAATAGAACTGTTAATCAACATATAGTTAAAGTTCTGTTCCATAATTTTTTTTCTCTGTAGTTAAGACTTTTGATATAATATGAATATGCAGGTTTTGCATGCGTACTTGAGCTACTGGCAGAACCGTTCTATATATTATCCCAGAACTTGGTTCTTCTCAGATTGCGTTTGGTTGTTGAAACTGCAGCCACTCTTTTCCGCTGCATAATAACATCTATCCTCATCCTGAAGCAACCAAGCCTGGTATATAGCAATGCTTGATGTTCATTTCCGAATTTAACGGCAATATGTAATTTTTGGCCCCAACTATTTAGTTACTTCAGATGTCATGTGTTCTTCGTTTTGATTCTACAAACATCTTCGTTGCTTCACTTGGTGTACTTTGATTGGTCCCTAGTCACCGTCTCTGTTTATAACAAATTATGGATTCTCTGCGTTATCTTGCTAGATATTTTGTCTGTATGTGAAACGGTTTCCAAGTAGTTTAACATCAACTAATGATTTAAAATGATTTAAGGTACTACTGTCTGAATTGCAGGAGAAAGCAATTGTATTTGCCCTGTCACAAGTTACATACGGAGCAACTATTTTCTTAGGTTACTGGGGCTACTTTGTTCTGTTTCGTGTGTATGGAACTTCTGTTCTATTTCCATTCAGGTACTAATTAGCTCCTTCATTTTTTTAAGCTGTATAAATTTTCAAGACATTTTCTAGATTTCTTATGATGCCTGACGAATCTTCATAGTTTCTGTATGTTCCTCTTTCCCATTATCATTCATCCTAATATTTTGTCTCCATCTTTGTGTCAAAAACTAAGCTGTTATATAGTGATTTACTGGGAGAACTGTTGCATAGAAAGTAGTCAACAAATATCTGAAATTCTCTATTTCTCTTTTTTATGTATTTATTAGCTTGCAATTTATTTATCTGTTGGTGGACCATTTATTGTAATATCCCAACTTGGGTAGTACTTTGTTATACAAAAGTAAGATGCCATTTCTTTCGTTTTTCAATGAAAAACTGAAAAAAGTTGTTGCAGGGTCGGAAGTACAATGGATCATAACAGACCGCTTCTGAACATGTGTGTGATTTTCACTCTTCAATCATTCCGGAAGTTGATTCTTCAAGAAGGTGAAAAGATGGTCCTTGTGTGGTTAGATACACCATATAACCAAGCAGTTTATGGTCTCGTAGATAAACTAGGTATGTCAATCATAATCCTTTGCATTGTCTTAAAATTTAACTTTTTGTGAGATAGCATGCATTCTTAAGATGGATTCTATTGGTGGATATGGATAATTTTCAGGGAGCTTAGTGGTGAGGCTCGTTTTTCTTCCATTTGAAGAAAGTTCCTATGTTACATTTGCAAGGTCTGCATCAGGTTTATATCTCTCCTTTTACGTGTTTTTAACATTGCGTTCTAGTAAACGTTATATTTTATTATTTTATAACACAATTTACCAAAGTTGGTACCTAGCCCTCATCACTAGGGTCAAGGTGTAGGGTTCAAATCCTGCACCTCCCGTATTCTCCTATTTGTAACAGGATTTGAATTTGAAAGAATAAAATAAAATATTTTGAATTAGTATTTGCAAAGTATTGGAGATGCTGAAATATACGATGACATATAGGTAAGCAGTTAGTAAAAAATTGCCCGAAAAGCTTTTGAAACCATCATGATTATCGTAAAATATAAAGGAAACGATGAGCAATATTCGAAATCAATAAAATTAGGTTTCAACTTGTAGCTGTAGATACATTGTCTGGAATGTGTTTGGCAAGGGTTCATTTGACCAATTATAGATATATATATATTGCATTCGCTTCTGACGAGTGAATTTTGACGTGCATGCAGGAGATCACAAGGACAAAAAGAAGATCCTGGGAAGGCGTCTGACAGATGCGCTGAAGCTTGTTTTGCTAATAGGTATCTACTCTGTCACAGTTCCTGCTGAAAATAAAATCATTTTCTTGCTCTAATAGTATAGTATTGCCAGCTTAATTTCTTGTTAAAAGTTGTATACTATAATTTACGAAACTTATTGTGAAACTGCATCCGCTTGTAGCCTGTTTAGCTAGAAGATGTTTAATTCGATATGGTGACTCATAAATGGTATATCTGAAATGATAACGTGAAAGAAAATGAAGTCCGTCTGTTAGAAGTTTTAACACAATAAATAAATTTTTAACTGACATAAATAATCACGTGTGTGTAGAAAAGTTAAATGACATATTTACAGTTTTCCTGCTCCAAATATTAGTTCATTCGCACAGTATTTTTGATAATTTTAATATCTCAAGTGTGTATCGTAATTCGTGACCATTAAGATGTGATTTTGCTGACAATGTATCGTTTTATTCTCTTTCAAAACTTATGTTCGTTTCTTTGGTCAGGTTTAGTGGTTATCGCGTTTGGCCCAAGCTATTCTTATTCCCTCATCAGATTGCTGTATGGTAGGAAATGGAGTGATGGAGAAGCTTCGAAAGCACTCCAGTGTTATTGCCTTTACGTGATAGTTTTGGCCATGAATGGTAAAACATTTATGCATATCACTCTGTGCTGTTATATTTAAAATATAACTAACTCAAAATCTTGAATCATATTTAAGGTGTTCTTTTCGTATGGAATTAAAGTGATTTTCTTTTCTTTAATTATCAGGTACATCCGAGGCATTTATGCATGCAGTTGCAACAGAGAATCAACTCAAACGGTCGAATGACTCGTTACTCGTCTTCTCGTTGATTTACGTAGTCTTGAATGTCTTACTTATACGATCAGCAGGCGCAATTGGATTAATATTAGCAAATTCTTTGAGTATCCTTTTTTCGACTTCTCTTTCTTCGCGATTAATTATTCCCATGGTTCTTTTTCTGTTTCGTATTTCTGGTTTATATCCCGTGGCGTTTCATTGGTTCCTTGACTATGACAAAGACATGTTCTTCAGGATAGTCTATTCAGCAATTTTCATCAGAAAATATTTCAAGGTAAGCCTATATATCTTTTATGCAACTTCATATTTTTTTGTGATTGTGAATATTTTATTTATTTATATTTTGATGCAATTTTGCGTCGTTTTCGCAGGATTCTTCGTCCTTTTCCTTTAGAGACTGCTTGCCGAAAGGAAGTGAATTTCTACTTATTTCAGGTGCAGCCATCTTTATTCTCGAGAGAACATATCTCGACCGAGAGAATTTCTGGTCAACTTTTACGATTCACCTCTCTTTTGGTTTGGCGTGTTTCAGTGTGGCGGCTGTTGTAATGTGAGTATTTCTTATCTTAATGCAATGTGTTTTTTTTTTGGTGGTTTAATTCTAATTATTACATTTTTATCAACAGCTATAAGAAAGAGAAGCCTTTCATCAGCAAAATCATACGTTTTCGTGAACATGCTGATTGAAAGCTCTGCTAACAGATACAAGGTGAGTTAAGACGGGCAACAATCATAAAAATCGTATTAATTTTGGTGTAACCTATATTTATGAAATTTTCATTTTTGCTCGAGTAGATTGTTACCGATGAACTTGTGTAAGAAAAGGTCTGATTTAGTTAACATTTTCTCCAAATCGGCACTTTGGAAGGATCCTTTTGGTATGAAGAATGCACAAACCATCGATTTTGGATGGACCGAAGTATTGAAAATGAAATGAGCCCCTACGTTTAACTTCATTCGGGTGAATACGAAGGCCAATATAATTTAATTATTTATTTGCATTTTGTATTATTTGATCGAGCAATATATACGTATTTTTAATAAGTAACCGAAACCGATACCGATAAAAAAAGAAGACAAAAAGAAGCTACTTCTATAATCTACAAATCACAAGGTAAGAATTTCAGCTTTATCCCCAATCACTTCGGAATCTAAACTAAAAAAGAAAATAGGGTAAATTATGGGTATCCAAGCTAAATAACTTACAAACTCCTATAATATTGGTAAATTACAAATATCCCCTAAAATTAACAGTCCGTTGGAAACCTTAATGAAATGAAGGAATTGTCTAAATTAACCTTTTATAAACAAAAAAAAAATAATAAATCTATCGGTAAAAAAATGACAAATCTATGATGACAATATTACATTTACCCCTGGGGTAAATTTGGAAATTCGTAACGAATATTCAAATGGGATCTTCAAGATTTCGTTACTCATAAGGGTACGATGAAGAAACGGCCCAGGGGTATTTGTAATGACCAATATCACTAAGGTTTCTAAGTTATTTAGTCTTTACTTCAGGGTAACGGTAATTTAACCCCAAAACCCAAACTAAAACTATCAACAGTGCAGGAAACAAAAAAAAAAAGACAAAGGTGCAAAGAGCAGCTCGAGCCAAGTCAAAGATCAATATTTATTATTTGTAAAAACCCTACGCAATCAGTACTTTAATCTCCCCCATTTAAATTAAATATCTCTGTACACCGTAAATTTTCCCATCTGTAAAATATATAAATGCAAGACAAGAAAAATATAGGAAACAAATAAATTTATTATCAAACGTAAGCGGATTACAATCTCCGTGAATTCCCCTGATTCTTTTCTCCTATTCTAATTTTGATTCAAGGTCTTAAAAGCTTGTTCTTGAATCGAACATATGATTTTCTATCACAAACACCTCGAATTCAAATATGTTATGAATTCGAGGCGGAGGCTCGAGACGTGAGCTTGAGAGCTCGATATGTGTCTGTGTGAGTCTGATTTTTAGATGCACCAAAGATCTTCTTTTATAGGCACAAGCTAGGGTTAGGGTTTCTCGACTTGCAGAGTGGGCCGGACATTCTAAAGCCCAAATATGTTATGGACTTTAATTTGAGACCTAAATTAATAACCAATTTATTTTGGTTATGAATTAGTAATTTATCTCAAAATTTCGATGTCTACAAATGCCCCCACTTCTAGTCTCGAAGAGAAACATGTTGAATATTTGTGAGACGAGACTTGAAGTACTCGAATTTTCCTTCACTTATTGGCTCCAAAACTCCTTTCCTCCATTTTTGGGGTGTATATGGAATTGCCATCACTTTTGAGGACTTAAATGCGAAGTCCATTTTCTGATATTTGGGGGAGAACAAGAATAACTTGAGCATCACCCACGCGCACCGGCCACACAGAATGACAAGCAGCATAGAGGAGGTGGAAACACCGGCGGCTGCTTCTGGCGGCGAAACGGACGTTGGAGGGAATATTTGTTTTGGCCTCCGTTGATGGTAGATTGTGGGACATCTTAGACCGCCTATGAATGGATGTGTGGCAGTGGATTCACCACCGGAGGAGATGACCGCTGCCACCGATTTCTCTTTAATTTTCTTCTAGTGCCCAATTTTTTGCATTGCAATGATTTGGTAGATACTTTTAACTCTAACCATAATTGCAAAACATATTCTTTTGGGCATGAGAAGGAAATCCGCAGTATTTTCCATCTCCTGCAAACAATAATTTACTATTAATTGCACTATACAAGAAATTTACAAACTTCTTTTCACCGTAATGGTTGCTCCTCTACGGAAAGAAAATCACGTGATATTTCAGAGATAATCATGATTTTTTTTTTATTTTTTATTTTTGCTTTTCCCCAAGTTGCACAAGTGAGCGATTTGAATGCTGACTCTCTCGGACTTTTGAATTCGAGATATTTGACGGCTTTGTCAATTTGCTTGCCCCCACCGTATGATTTGATTACCGGTCGCAATAACAACACCAAGGCCTCTTCTTCAGGAGAATCGCAAGATGAACATTTAATTTGATATTGGAGAGAAAGAGATGAGGGCGAAGATTGTCCCACCGGGCGTGCCAATTTGTAAACCGTAAATTTTCCCATTTGTAAAATATATAAAAATACAAGACAAGAAATTAGGGAACAAATAATTTATTAATCAAAACGATGTGATGTGGATTACAATCTCCGTAATTCCCCTGATTCTTCTCTCCTATTCTAATTTTGATTCAAGGGCTTAAAAGCTTGTTCTTGAATCGAACATATGATTTCCTATCACGAACACCTCGAATTCAAATATGTTATGAATTCGAGAATATGTTATGAATTCGAGGCGGAGGCTCGAGACGTGAGCTAGAAAGCTCGATATGTGTCTGTGTGAGTCTGCTTTTTACATACACCGAAGCAGTCTTTTTATAGCCACGATCTAGGGTTTCTTGACTTGTAGGATGGGCCGGTCATTTGTAAAGCCCAAATTTATTATGGACTTTGAGTGAGACCCAATTTAATAATCGATTTATTGGATTATTAATTGGTGATTTATCTCAAAATTTCGATGTCTACAAATGCCCCCACTTCAAGGTTCGGCGAAGAACATGCCAAATATTTGTGAGGCGAGACTTGAAGTACTTGAATTTTTCCTTCATTTGTTGCTTCAAAACTTATTTTCTGGGTTTGAATTTGTAATCTCTCAACTGTTGGGGACTCAAGTGCAATTTCCTGATTTTTGTTTGAAGTCCCAAATTACAATTTAGAACTTCTGAATTTGAGGAACTCTTCCCGTCCCTGTTACGCATTTCATCCATCCACAGTTCATATTTTCATAGGACCATAGCCGACCACATATTTTAACATCCAAACTCTGCCATGATGCCGCCGTTTACTTTGCAGCTCCGACGACCGTTCTTATTGCCGACTATATATCTTCAGAACTTCTTTTTTGTGACGCCACAGACGACGGCAAAGAGGACCATAAATGGGGCGAGGCTCTGTTTGCAGGCAGGACCTTTGTGTTTTCGGGATGACGACAAAGATGAGAGCAGATTTGAGGCGTAAAGCTTGGTATGCGGGGGATTGCCATGGAAGGTGGTGATGTGGAGTTTTGAAACTGGACAAGACTTGTCTATTGGGAATCAATGTCGGGTTGCCGAGAAGCTCGTGCAGCGGCGTGCTGGAAGTGGCGGATTCGTTGCAGCAGCATATTCGAACAAATGTGCCTCTCCTCGTAGCGGCGGTAAAGTGATGACACCGGCGAGTGCTTCTGGCTTCATGCGGCAATTGGTAGTTCGCTGGTGCAAATCTAGCTTTCAGAAGTTGTCTTTGAGTTTCCGGTGGAAGAGGCGGTGCGAGATTGAAGTTGGACTTCCGCTGATTCTAGAAAACTTTCCTCAATAAAAAAGATTTGGCAAATCTTTAAATTTGCATAAATCTTTTGCTGCCGATACAAAATAACAACCACCATATCTTCCACTTTATTGATATCTTTGCCCCCAAGTTAGAGTCTTTGACTTTGCCTTACCAACCACATCTACGAGGAACAACATATCATAGACGTCGGGTTGAATGAACATGAAATTTGACATCGGAGGAAGAGATGAGGGGTGGAAATAGTCCCACCGGGCGTGCCAATTTGTAAACCGTAAATTTTCTCATCTGTAAAATATATAAATGCAAGACAAGAGAAAATAATTTTTATTATAAAGGTATCAGACTCACACAGACACATATCGAGCTCTCAAGCTCACGTCTCGAGCCTCCGCCTCGAATTCATAACATATTTGATTTTGAGGTGTTCGTGATAGGAAATCATATGTTCGATTCAAGAACAAGCTTTTAAGCCCTTGAATCAAAATTAGAATAGGAGAGAAGAATCAGGGGAATTACGGAGATTGTAATCCGCTTTCGTTTTGATTAATAAATTTATTTG